CTGCTTGCAAGTTTGTGAACCATTTAGAATTTTCTATTTCGGAATAAATGACCCAAAACATAATTAGATTTTTTCATAATTAGACACAAATCCTGAAAGTAGACAAAGAGAATCCAATCAAACAAAGGAGACAAAAATATATACTTTGTCATTTATTTATTGAGAAAAATTATCGGGTGTTAAATATTTGTGAGTGGCAAAAGTATGTGAATCTTTGATTTCACATACTTGAATCTTTGGTTTACTTTGATTTCTTTGCTCTCTTCTGCAGCAATGACTGCAAGTAACATTTCTTGTAACTGCTGATCAGTCCTGCACAACATCTTTAAGGAGTTTTAGACCATTCCTCAGTACAGAACCACTTGTTGGTGTTGGTGGGTTTCCTCCTATGAACTACTTGCTTCAGTTCCTTCCACAAAATTTCAATTGGATTAAGGTCCGGAATTTGACTCAGTCATTCCAAAACATTAACTTTGTCCTTCTTTAACCATTCTTTGGTAGAACGACTTGTGTGCTTGGGGTCGTTGTCTGGCTCCATGAACCACGTTCTCTTTAGATTCAGTTCTCGGACAGATGTCCTGACATTTTCCTTCAGAATTTGCTGGTATAATTCAGAATTCATTGTTCCATCAATGATGGCAAGCTGTCCTGGACCAGATGCAGCAAAACAGGTCCAAACCATGATACTACCACCACCATGTTTCACAGATGGGATAAGGTTCTTATGCTGGAATGCAGTGTTTTCTTTCTCCAAACATAACGCTGCTTGTTCAAATTAAAATGTTCTATTTTGGTCTTATCCATCCACAAAACATTTCTTCAGTATTCCTCTGGCTTGTCCACATGATCTTTAGCAAACTGCAGATGGGCAGCAATGTTCTTTTTGGAGAGCAGTGGCTTTCTCCTTGCGACTCTGCTGTGCACACCATGGGTGTTCAGTGTTCTCCTGATGATGGGCTCATAAACATTAACATTAGCCAATGTGAGAAAGGCTTTTAGTTGCTTAGAAGTTAGCCTGCGGTCCTTTGAAACCTAGTGGACTTTTACACGTCTTGCTTTTAGAGTGTTCTTTGTTGGTGGAGCACTCCTGGGGAGGGTAACTGTGGTCTTGAATCTCCTGTGGAGTCCAAACTCTTTAGAGATGGCTTTGAAACCTTTTCTAGCCTGATGAGCAACATCAACTCTTTTTCTGAGATCCTCAGAGATCTCAATTGTTCATGCCATGACACACTTCCACAAACATGATCAGACTTTGATAGGGCCCTGTTCTTTAAATAAAACAGGGCAGACACCTGATAGTCATCTCACTGATTAAAAACACCTCTGAACAGATGGACTCTAATTTCACCTTCAAATTAACAGCTAATCCTAGAGATTCACATACTTTTGCCGCTCACAGATATGTAATATTGGATAATTTTCCTGAATAAGTAAATGACAAAGTATATATTTTCATCTAATTTGTTTGATTGGGTTCTCTTTGTGAACTTTCAGGACTTGCATGAAAATCTGATGATTTTTGGGGGGTTATATTTATGCAGAAATATAGACAATTCTAAAGGGTCCACAAACTTTCAAGCAGCACTGTATATTTATCTGAGCAGATTCAGTCACTCTTGACACACCTCACACCACAGGAAAATTTTATTGGAAATCTCATTAATCTGTAGCACAATCAAGGTAATCAAGATAAGACTTTACCTAGGATTGTCTGAAGTGGAAAATTGAGATTATTTTGTAGTGTGTGACTGCCTTTAGCTCTCGTCACTGTAATTACTGCATGGTTCATGGATAGTTATACAATCTACAGGGTCATAGGCGATATAGTAAAAGTTATTACTATATTGTTGGTATAGTATTGCTGGTATTGTTGAATACCCCTGCTGTATTATCGTAACAAAGTGCTAAAACTGTTTCTCTATCATATTTACTTGTTGGTGCGTCTTTTACAGAACCACACTCTACATGGGCTTGGTTGGGGACCCACTGGAGATTCATTCAAAGACTTTGCTATTACAGAGAAACCTTTAGTAGCAACTACGGGTATATGTGAAGAGAAGACCCTTGTTGAGACAGCATTTTGCTTGGCACTAAGGGGGCGCATGCTCTCTTACCAGCAGCCTATATTGCCCACGAGGTCCGTCAACATGCACCAAGATTGTTCACCTTCCCTACCACTGCCTCTTGGGGAGTACAGGCTTGATCCTACAGAATGTGTGCACTGAGGAGGAGCACTTCCACTTTAAGAGCTTGATGGTCACACTGGACATGGCCTGTAAGATTGAGACTGCCACAAGAGAGCGAGCAGCAGAACAGAAGTGGCATCAGCTCCGTAGGCCTAGGATCACCTCACATTTCAGAGAGGTGTGTTTTGTCAGGGGAGTCAGTTCTGCAGCATCTCTTGCTGAAAGAATCCTCAAAGGAACAAAGCTGAACGCCGAAATGAAAAGAGGTGCAGACATGGAGATTGAGGCTGCAGTGGAGTACTGCAGGATGAAAATGACAACTACACACCCTGCGGCCTCATCATCCACCACGATGCCCCTTGGCTTAGTGCCTCACCATTTATGATCCATCCACACAGCCCCCGTTTGGACTGGTTGAGATCAAGTGCCCTAATGTAAAAGCTACATGGACTGTAAATATCTTCAAACGCAGCATGGCATTTCAGCACTCCATGAAAGCCACTCATATTTCTGGCAGATCCAGGGTCAACTGTTGCTCACTGGCCTGCAGTGATTTTGTGATCTGTGTCCATGCTGCTGCTGGACACTAAATACCGTAAGAGGCACTCTTGACAGTCGCTGTAGCACGGTCTCGTGTTGTTTCCACCAGCATGGCAAATTTTTCACCACTAATTGATGAATGTCTAAAATATAAAATAAGGAGAATGCTAAAACAGGCCGGAGGCCCGGCCCGCATCTGAACTATGACGTGAAAATTGGCCCGAAGCCCGGCCCGAGGGGGCGTAAAAAAGTCGGGGCCCATTGGGCCCGGGCTGAAATGCAGGGCTCTAACTCACATCACATGCTGTATTTACTGACTGTGAATGGAGCCGCTCTGAGACGTCAATCATCAGCTGCGCACGAACACTGCGCTTTGCGTGGAATCCACCGCAACCATCCTTTGCCAAATGATAAGCACACTACTATATCGCGGTTTTATATTCTGTTCGATTAGTGTTCATTACAAAACTGTGGGGGGACATATTATTTTATGACGGTTCATCATTGTATAATAGACATTTGATATAGAGTGCAATAAAGCAGGAAAGAATCAGTTTATAAAGGCTATTATTCACTTCCTATATGTGCTTTAAAGGGGTCATATGATGCTGACTCACATCACATGCTGTATTTACTGACTGTGAATGGAGCCGCTCTGAGACGTCAATCATCAGCTGCGCACGAACACTGCGCTTTGCGTGGAATCCACCGCAACCATCCTTTGCCAAATGATAAGCACACTACTATATCGCGGTTTTATATTCTGTTCGATTAGTGTTCATTACAAAACTGTGGGGGGACATATTATTTTATGACGGTTCATCATTGTATAATAGACATTTGATATAGAGTGCAATAAAGCAGGAAAGAATCAGTTTATAAAGGCTATTATTCACTTCCTATATGTGCTTTAAAGGGGTCATATGATGCTGCTAAAAAGAACATTATTTTGTGTATTTGCCTTTACCATATTGTGATGCCTGCGGCAACCACATGTGACGACCCCGGGCTAGACTCCTGCTTCGTCCACGGTGAAAGCCGATCCGGCGATCGACAGCGCAAAGTTGAAGTATTTCCTCAGCGACCAGCACGGATCAGCTCTAGGTATGACGAAGCAGATATCGTCCTCTTTTGGAAGGCGAAACAAAGTATTCGCTTTCACAACAAAGCACACAGCGCCTTCACGACATGGCAGCAGCAACAATACTACAGCAAGAATAAAAGTTACGCCTTCTTTCTTTGCGTGAACATGTGGGCGGCGTTATGCAAATCTTCCCACATAGTGATGTAGACATGTGGGGGCGTGTTAGAACGAGCCGTTTTAGGAGGCCGTGGCTGACTCTTAACTTTTATAAAGAATATCTCTTCGGATTTGAAACTTTAGTCTTTGCAACTTTACAGATCTTCTTTATGCACCAAGAGCTTGTAACACTCCAAAGAGAAAGGAAAAATTGAAATCGCATCATATGACCCCTTTAAGTCTTCGACGTAGACATTTTAATCTTTGTTTTGCGTACGTAGTTAGCTACTGGAAAAGCTGCACTGTTTTTAAAGTAGCTGAGCTACCGTCACATACTGAAAATTTAGTTGCTTTAGTAGTGTTGCTACTACTCCCCAACACTGCATATGTTGACCCGAAGGTAACAGCAGCCATTAGAGAGAGGGTGGACCAGTTTTATTTTAATGTGTATATGCCAAAATACCTGTCTTTCTGCAAAAGGTTGTAATGACTGGGATAATGTTAGTTGTTAAAGAGTTAGTTCATCCACAATTTTGTTTTTATTATTTTTTTTTTATATAATTTTCATCACCCTCAATTTGTTCCAAACCTGCATGAGTGTCTTTTCTGCTGAACACTAAATATTTTGAAGAATGCTGGTAACCAGATGATTTTGACTTCCATAGAAGACATTGACTTCCATAGTATTTTTTCCCCACATGGTGGTCAAAGGCTACTGTCAACTGCCTGGTTACCATATGTTAAAGTTTAACATATTACAACCTAAATGCATTTTTAACAACAAATTCAACTAAAGGAAAGCTCACCCAAAAGTGAAAATGTTATCTTAATTTACTCAGCCCATTCTTTTATTTTTATTTATTTACTTTTTAAACACAAAAAGTGTAATTGAAATAATAATTTCTCCAATAAGAAAACTTTAAATAAAACCGCTGATATGTGTTTTATTATTTGTATGTGTTTTCTGTATGAACATTTCTATGCACGTCTATAAACCATATTAAACCAAGCGTGTGAACAGGACTTTTATTTGAGGACTTTTAGTGTGGCGATGTGAGGTCATATGTCTGCGCCGCGCTGTTGTGACTCGGCTGAAGAAAGGTTTGTGCTTTTAAGCGTTTAAAGTGTTTAACCTTAATGAACGTTATTTTGTGAGTAAAACAGTACCGTAACAGAAAATGTGCGCCTCATCTCGATCCCTGTATTGTGAATTCGGCCTCTAACCATTAATGATGACAGAAAAGGAGCTTCAAAACTACGAGTCAACTGAGTCAATTGCTTAAAAATGATTCACTCGCTCGAATCACCACACGCTGACGAGGACTGCAGGGTCAAAACACTGGGAATGCCACGAGAACAACTAACAAACCTGAAAAATGACAGCTTTTACAAACAAATAGCAAATGTTTTAGGAACTGTAGTTAATTAAATGTAATGTGAAAATAATTCAATACCAACTAGGCCTATAATTTATGCTCTTTTACTAATTTGTTGTGCTACTTCTTTTAATGAGCTCGTTTAAGGCCATTGACTATCATTCTGACTGACTCTTACTGAGCTGTTGACTACTGACCCAGGGAGCTGATTGAGACACACCCAGAGATTTGATTTGCATTTATTTTAATAACACTTTAGAATAAGGAACACACATTCACTATTAATTAACAGTTTTCCCTCAATAAACTCCCAGTTAGCTGCTCATTAATAGTTAGTAAGCTAGTTGATAAGTTTAGGTATGGTTTGGTTGGATTAAGGGATCTAAAATATGGTCACGCAGAATAATACATTAATATGTGCTTTATAAGTACTAATAAACAGCCAATATGCTACCTTTTTTCTTTCTGTTAATTGTTCTCACATTAAACATGACAGAGAGTCCAAATGCACACACAAAAAACTCCTGCTGAAGCAGCTGAGATCCACGTCACATAGGCTACTGTTATAACGATGGCATTTATTAAAGAGGAGACTGAAGACATTAAGATCGAAGACGCAATCACAGTGAAACAAGAAGATACTGAAGAACAAACAGGTTGGTTTTCATTCTCAAAGCTGAACTTAGTCATTTGATCCTTATTAAAATATCCAGCTCTACGGACTTCTTGTCACAGCTTTATTTACACATTTTGATTTTCAATACTTTGGACTAATCAACTTCTAAGTGTTTGTTCATCAGTCCCCATGTAAGAAATTACACTTTATGATTTGCTCCTAATTAAGTGATTAAAAGCATTTGCAAAAGTTTTGTAATGTACACATTTTCCTCTGGGGGAAAAAAAACATTTACTACCAAATTATACACTGCCTGGCCAAAAAAAAAAAAAAAAAAGGCACATGGCAATATTTTAGGATCTGATCATTATTGCAGTGATTAATATGTTTCTGGCGTGATCCATGTCGCACAGTGTGTAGAAGGCTTTATACTGGTTTTGATGTCTCTTGCTTTATGCCATTAAGTGGTATTAATATGTTTCTCTCTTTAGACCTAATGACGTTGAAAGAGGAGAGTGATGTACTAAATGAATCGGAAGAGAAAAGTCGGTTTGAGAAACATCATGATTTCATTACTGGGGAAAAGTCCACAAAGACTGAAATGGAGTCCTCACCAAAAACAGCTCAGAAGACCGAATCTAACAGTTACTTCAGCTGCCGTCAATGTGGAAAGAGTTTCAGTAAAAAACGAAATCTTGAAGTCCACATGAGAATTCACACTGGAGAGAAGCCCTTCACCTGCCAACAGTGTAAAAAAAGTTTCACTCAAAAACAAAACCTTAATGTCCACATGAGAATTCACACTGGAGAGAAGCCCTTCACCTGCCAACAGTGTAAAAAAAGTTTCACTCAAAAACAAAACCTTAATGTCCACATGAGAATTCACACTGGAGAGAAGCCCTTCACCTGCCAACAGTGTGGACAGAGTTTTACGAATAAAGGAAACCTTAATGCCCACCTGAGAAGTCACACCGGAGAGAAGCCATTCACCTGCCAGCACTGTGGGAAGAGCTTTACACAAAAAGTAAACCTTGAGGTTCACCTGAGGCTTCACACCGGAGAGAGGCCTTTCATGTGTCTTCAGTGTGAGAAGAGTTTCATATATAAAAGGGACTTGAAACGGCATTTGCCAATTCATTCTAGAAAGAATTCAAAGTGTTCTGAGTGTGAGAGGTTTGGAAAAAGAAGACATTTCAAAAATCACCTTTGCATTCAGTCTGGAGCAAGGCGGATTAATTGTGATCAGTGTCATAAAAAAAGTATTTTGCCGTCACACAGAAAAAGCCTTCACACCTGGAAAGTCACACGTATGTGAGACCCTGTTGGGGTTCTTTGTGTAGAGAGAGTTTTAAGTAGCTGCAAAATTTAGAATGGCACCAGAAAATATGTATCTGTGTACAATTAAAGCTAAGGTTGACAGTTTCTATGCTACTAGTGTCACCTAGTGGAACTATAAAAATAAAGCATGTTTTCAAACGCCCTTTAGAAGTGTCACACCTCCCCTAACTTAAACATGGCAAATACCGCTCTTACGGGTCTATAAAGGTGAAGGCATGTTGCAGCAGGTTTTAGGAGGCTACTTTCAACAAAAGGTCTAGCATGTTAGCAACACGTGTAACTTGAAGTTTAGCTTGTGTTGAAAGAAAAAAAAAACTACAACTTTGGATCTACTAAAACCCAAACATTCCATCAAATGATTTTGTTTTAGTACACCAGCTAAACAGCCTCTGTTTCTGCAGCTACAGTAGCCATGCCTCAAACTCTCACTATTGGCTGCATTGAGGTATGCAAATGCATAGGTTGACAGGCAGGTAGGACAACCTATCATGATTTGATGAACATTTTATGATCCTAAAGCTTGGGACGCACCAAGCCGTCGTTGAGCGTCTGTCGGGCTAGTTTGTTTGTTTGGTGTGTTCCACACGTCGGCTCTCATCAGACTCACGTCGGTTCGGTGGTAGTTTTTGGAGTCAAAAGTAAGAATTTTTATATTATATTAATTTAAACAATTATTATCAAACAATGATATTAATTTAGTAACATAAATATATATTAGTGTAGGCTATATCTTTAGAGTTTTATACTTCGTTATCTTCTTGTCGATCCACCAGTTCACATTTACAACTGTGTTTTCTGCGTAAAAAGGGTCGTTTTCGGCTTTGGTCTAAACAAAGAGCAGAAGGCCTTAAGTCCCCTTGCCATACAGCCATGGTTTAATGAGAGTTGACAGAAAAATGACACGAAAGCCACAATTTACAAAGAAAGAACTTACAGTTATTTTGGAGGAGGTGGAAAATGGGAAAATGATAGCTGTTCTCCAAGCTAAAAAACACAATTAAGAAACTTTGGACAGAAATCACACAAAAAATAAATGCTTCAATGCTTCTGTATGAGCGAAGCCCAGAAGAAGTGAGGAATAAGTGGAGGGACTTTGCAAGTGTGACCAAACGGAGGGCTGCGCCACATAGAAGGGAAGCAAAAAAGACTGGTGGGGGTGTAAGATCCGCCCACTGGTCCAACGACAGTAGCCAGTGATCCAGTAGAAGGATTCTCGCGTTTTGCTGTCTTTCCTTTTATGCAGCACAACAATATTAAATTAAATACATTTTCTTGTGTTTTACCTCTTTTATTCATCTGACTCCAAAAATGAAAAGGGTTAGGAGAGTTGTTTGTTACTCATTAAATTTAGGTGAGTGTTTGATCATTCTGTTTTACTCATGACTTTGATATTTACTCGTTCATTAGGAATCTATGTCGCTTAAGATGCCTCACGGCAGCCGCTATGCGTGGGCTCCACGATCACAAACTCGCCAGTTTGATCCTTATTCAGAGGTTTGTGGCTAATACTATTTAATATACTTTAAATAGTAGGTTTGTATAGCCCACTACAGTTACCCATGTAATGCTCAAACATTAATCAGCGGTTCTTCTAGACCCTTAGTCTCGCCCCCGATAGTTAGTATAACTACGTACAACGTAATTAAAGCTGAAATCATACACATGGTTAAAGTAACTGAGTACAACTTAAACTAAGGTCAAGCGGTTAGTCAGAAACCTATAATCTCACCTGATG